TAGCCCCGCCCGGCCCGTTGCCGTGGTTACCGTCGTTACCGTGGTTACCGTCGTTACCGTGGTTGCAATCGTTACCATCGTTACCACCGTCATCTCTACACCGTCACTGCTGCCGCCGCTCCGCTTGTGTAGCCCCAGGGTTAACCCGCACAGGTCCGTTACCATGGTTGCCTACGTTACCACGGTTACCATAGTTACCACGGTTACCATCGTTACCACGGTTACCATCGTTACCACGGTTACCATCGTTATCGCTGCCGCCGCTCCACTTGCATAGCCCCAGGGTTAACTCCCACGGGTCCATGCAGTCAACGAATGACTGCACGGATGAATGAATGACAAAGTGAATGACTGAATGACTGCACGAAATAACGACGACTGACGGAGCGAATGACTGAGCGGATGACCCCGATGACTGAGTGGATGACCCCGATGACTGAGTGGATGACCCCGATGACTGATTGGATGACCCCGATGACTGATTGGATGACCCCGATGACTGATTGGATGACCACGATGACTGAGTGGATGACCCCGATGACTGATTGGATGACCCCGATGACTAAGTGGATGACCCCGATGACTGAGTGGATGACCCCGATGACTGATTGGATGACCCCAATGACTGATTGGATGACCCCGATGACTGAGTGGATGACCCCGATGACTGATTTGATGACCCCGATGACTGAGAGGATGACCCCGATGACTGATTGGATGACCCCGATGACTGATTGGATGACCCCGATGACTGATTGGATGACCCCGATGACTGATTGGATGACTGCACTAATGCATCGACGAGTGACCGACCGAGCAAATGACTGAGCGAAATCTCCATAAATATAAAAGGGAAATTTGTGAATGTGTGTGTCTGTTCGAAATGTTTAGCGTACTTTCCAATATGCAACAAACTTGAAATTTGGCATGTCGGTGGCTTCCTGACTGTACACAATGCAAAACGTATAAAAATAGACTTTTGTATTTTTGGGGGGGTAGGAGGGGCGCAATAATGAAGATATTTTGCACGGCAAGTGAGCGGTGACGTCACACCTGTGATGTCATCCGCATGCGGCAGCGTCACGCAGTGCGCCTGCTGACGTCACTCACCCCTCACCCTCCGCGTAGGCCGTGTGTTAACCCGACGACTGAATGGGTGACTGCACTGGCGCGTGGGCGAGTGACCGAGCGAGCGAACGACTTCCGTGGCTGGGCGACCGAACTGAGTGAGCGACCGAGCGAAACTCACGTGACCCCCTTTGCCACTTGACCCCCCGCCCCCCCCCCCCCCCCCCCGTGACCTCAGGTCAGGTGCAGAGCAGGAAGAACATTGAAGAGGTGATCCGCTTTGCTGCAGAGGAGAAGCTCTTCCTCATGGCCGACGAGGTGAGGGCGGGGCTTCATAGTTTCATAGTTTCCGTTTATGTTGGTATAGCCCCGTGAGCCATTCGGCTCTTGAATCGGGTGCAACCACAACAAACTAAAAAGCAAAAACACGAACAAGAAAATCATCTTAAAGTGACTGTGTGTGACTATGCAAACAGAACATCCATGGAAAAAAAACATCAAAATATTCCTGAAATAGCATCGTACACCAACGCTGTGTGCAAAAAGGCTAAGGGCTTACACTGACTTTAACATTTTATCTACAAAATGACACCTTGCCGATATTAACTATGTTACCCTGTTTTTTTTAATTTTCGGATTGTATCTTATAGCTATTTTATATTCGATATTTATTCAATTTTGTATACTTTAGCCCCTTGGTGTTAGTTAGACTTTGAACCCTTATTATAGTAAGACTTGTTTACTACTTATTTAAGATTTTAGATTCCTATATGTTGAATGTGTGCACCATCCTGCCAAAGTAAATTCCGTGTCGGTGTGAACTTTCATGGCGAATAAAACCCTTTCTGATTCTGAAAAATCCCAGTGGGATGCAAGTCAAACAACAACATCAACAACCACAAGACAACTAAGATTAAGGCCATCAGTCTTAACTCCGCACTACAACAAAACAAACATGGCCAAACCAAAAAAACATTTTTGAAATCACCAAAATAAAAAGCCATAATAGCAACGTAACAGCGATCACAGGCACCGTGACCGAATTTGTAACAATAAACTACGTAAATAACACGTAACACCAAACCCCGGAGCCACATTTGGTGGTGGTGGGGGTGGTGCGAGGGACGACGAGGTGGTGGTGGGGGGTGGTGCGTGGGACGACGAGGTGGTGGTGGTGGGGGGTGGTGCGAGGGACGACGAGGTGGTGGTAGGGGGTGGTGCGTGGGACGACGAGGTGGTGGTAGGGGGTGGTGCGAGGGACGACGAGGTGGTGGTGGGGGTGGTGCGTGGGACAACGAGGTGGTGGTAGGGGGTGGTGCGTGGGACGACGAGGTGGTGGTAGGGGGTGGTGCGAGGGACGACGAGGTGGTGGTGGGGGTGGTGCGAGGGACGACGAGGTGGTGGTGGGGGGTGGTGCGAGGGACGACGAGGTGGGGGTGGGGGGGGTGGTGCGTGAGACGACGAGGTGGTGGTGGGGGTGGTGCGAGGGACGACGAGGTGGTGGTGGGGGGTGGTGCGTGGGACGACGAGGTGGTGGTGGGGGGTGGTGCGAGGGACGACGAGGTGGTGGTGGGGGGTGGTGCGAGGGACGACGAGGTGGTGGTGGGGGGTGGTGCGAGGGATGACGAGGTGGTGGTGGGGGGTGGTGCGTGGGACGACGAGGTGGTGGTGGGGGTGGTGCGAGGGACGACGAGTTGGTGGTGGGGGGTGGTGCGAGGGACGACGAGGTGGTGGTGGGGGTGGTGCGAGGGACGACGAGGTGGTGGTGGGGGGTGGTGCGAGGGACGACGAGGTGGTGGTGGTGGGGGTGGTGCGAGGGACGACGAGGTGGTGGTGGGGGTGGTGCGTGGGACGACGAGGTGGTGGTGGTGGGGGGTGGTGCGAGGGACGACGAGGTGGTGGTGGGGGTGGTGCGAGGGACGACGAGGTGGTGGTGGGGGTGGTGCGAGGGACGACGAGTTGGTGGTGGGGGGTGGTGCGAGTGACGACGAGGTGGTGGTGGGGGTGGTGCGAGGGACGACGAGGTGGTGGTGGGGGGTGGTGCGAGGGACGACGAGGTGGTGGTGGTGGGGGTGGTGCGAGGGACGACGAGGTGGTGGTGGGGGTGGTGCGTTGTATGACGAGGTGGTGGTGGTGGGGGGTGGTGCGAGGGACGACGAGGTGGTGGTGGGGGTGGTGCGAGGGACGACGAGGTGGTGGTGGGAGAGCGTCCGCGTCCAGGACGAGAGCGGCGCCGGTCAGCGGCCCGTGTGGGATTCGATTCCACGCCCACGGCCACCAACGGTTATCTGAGGCGGTCCCCCTGGGCCCTGCCCCTAGGTCGGCTCGGCCTCGAAACGAGTGACCCGGCGTGGTTGCGTAGTCGACGTCGCCGCTCGGGGAGACAAAGGCGGCGGCCCGGGGGGCGTGGCCCTGCCCCCCCCCCCCCACCACGGCGACGGCCTCCGTGGGTTGCCGCTGCCGCTCGCTAACGGCACTTGCCCCGACGGCCTGTTACAGGCTACACGGGGGGGAACCTTTGTCTTTGTGTGGACGTGGGGAGCGGCGGGGCCGCGGTCGGCGCACCCCGGGCCCCCCCTAGGTCGACTCGGCCCTCAAATGCCTTCCTGGCACGTGTGCGTGTAACACTATCGGCACCGCGGTGTGGGTGAGGAAGGCGTTGCGGGTGGGGGGAGTGTCGGTGTGAAGTCGGTGTGAAGTTGGTGTGAAGTTGGTGTGAAGTTGGTGTGAAATTGGTGTGAAGTTGGTGTGAAGTTGGTGTGAAGTTGGTGTGAAGTCGTCGTGAAGTTGGTGTGAAGTTGGTGTGAAGTTGGTGTGAAATTGGTGTGAAGTCGTCGTGAAGTTGGTGTGAAGTTGGTGTGAAGTTGGTGTGAAATTGGTGTGAAATTGGTGTGAAGTTGGTGTGAAGTTGGTGTGAAGTTGGTGTGAAGTTGGTGTGAAGTTGGTGTGAAATTGGTGTGAAGTTGGTGTGAAGTTGGTGTGAAGTTGGTGTGAAGTTGGTGTGAAGTCGTCGTGAAGTTGGTGTGAAGTTGGTGTGAAGTTGGTGTGAAATTGGTGTGAAGTCGTCGTGAAGTTGGTGTGAAGTTGGTGTGAAGTTGGTGTGAAATTGGTGTGAAATTGGTGTGAAGTTGGTGTGAAGTCGGTGTGAAGTTGGTGTGAAGTTGGTGTGAAGTTGGTGTGAAATTGGTGTGAAGTTGGTGTGAAGTTGGTGTGAAGTTGGTGTGAAGTCGTCGTGAAGTTGGTGTGAAGTTGGTGTGAAGTTGGTGTGAAATTGGTGTGAAGTCGTCGTGAAGTTGGTGTGAAGTTGGTGTGAAGTTGGTGTGAAGTCGTCGGTGTGAAGTTGGTGTGAAGTTGGTGTGAAGTTGGTGTGAAGTTGGTGTGAAGTTGGTGTGAAGTTGGTGTGAAGTTGGTGTGAGGTCGGTGTGAAGTCGTCGTGAAGTTGGTGTGAAGTTGGTGTGAAGTTGGTGTGAAGTTGGTGTGAAATTGGTGTGAAGTTGGTGTGAAGTTGGTGTGAAGTTGGTGTGAAATTGGTGTGAAGTTGGTGTGAAGTTGGTGTGAAGTCGGTGTGAAGTTGGTGTGAAGTTGGTGTGAAGTTGGTGTGAAATTGGTGTGAAGTTGGTGTGAAGTTGGTGTGAAGTTGGTGTGAAGTTGGTGTGAAGTTGGTGTGAAGTTGGTGTGAAGTCGTCGTGAAGTTGGTGTGAAGTTGGTGTGAAGTTGGTGTGAAGTTGGTGTGAAGTTGGTGTGAAGTTGGTGTGAAGTTGGTGTGAAGTTGGTGTGAAGTTGGTGTGAGGTCGGTGTGAAGTCGTCGTGAAGTTGGTGTGAAGTTGGTGTGAAGTTGGTGTGAAGTTGGTGTGAAATTGGTGTGAAGTTGGTGTGAAGTTGGTGTGAAGTTGGTGTGAAATTGGTGTGAAGTTGGTGTGAAGTTGGTGTGAAGTCGGTGTGAAGTTGGTGTGAAGTTGGTGTGAAGTTGGTGTGAAATTGGTGTGAAGTTGGTGTGAAGTTGGTGTGAAGTTGGTGTGAAGTTGGTGTGAAGTTGGTGTGAAGTTGGTGTGAAGTCGTCGTGAAGTTGGTGTGAAGTTGGTGTGAAGTTGGTGTGAAGTTGGTGTGAAGTTGGTGTGAAGTTGGTGTGAAGTCGTCGTGAAGTTGGTGTGAAGTTGGTGTGAAGTTGGTGTGAAATTGGTGTGAAATTGGTGTGAAGTTGGTGTGAAGTTGGTGTGAAGTTGGTGTGAAGTTGGTGTGAAGTTGGTGTGAAGTTGGTGTGAAGTCGTCGTGAAGTTGGTGTGAAGTTGGTGTGAAGTTGGTGTGAAGTTGGTGTGAAGTTGGTGTGAAGTTGGTGTGAAGTCGTCGTGAAGTTGGTGTGAAGTCGTCGTGAAGTTGGTGTGAAGTTGGTGTGAAGTTGGTGTGAAATTGGTGTGAAGTCGTCGTGAAGTTGGTGTGAAGTTGGTGTGAAGTTGGTGTGAAGTTGGTGTGAAGTTGGTGTGAAGTCGTCGGTGTGAAGTTGGTGTGAAGTTGGTGTGAAGTTGGTGTGAAGTTGGTGTGAAGTTGGTGTGAAGTTGGTGTGAAGTTGGTGTGAAGTTGGTGTGAAGTTGGTGTGAAGTTGGTGTGAAGTTGGTTTGAAGTTGGTGTGAAGTTGGTGTGAAGTTGGTGTGAAGTCGGTGTGAAGTTGGTGTGAAGTTGGTGTGAAGTTGGTGTGAAGTTGGTGTGAAGTCGTCGGTGTGAAGTTGGTGTGAAGTTGGTGTGAAGTTGGTGTGAAGTTGGTGTGAAGTCGTCGTGAAGTTGGTGTGAAGTTGGTGTGAAGTTGGTGTGAAGTTGGTGTGAAGTTGGTGTGAAGTTGGTGTGAAGTCGTCGTGAAGTTGGTGTGAAGTTGGTGTGAAGTTGGTGTGAAATTGGTGTGAAGTCGTCGTGAAGTTGGTGTGAAGTTGGTGTGAAGTTGGTGTGAAGTTGGTGTGAAGTTGGTGTGAAGTTGGTGTGAAGTCGTCGTGAAGTTGGTGTGAAGTTGGTGTGAAATTGGTGTGAAGTCGTCGTGAAGTTGGTGTGAAGTTGGTGTGAAGTTGGTGTGAAGTTGGTGTGAAGTTGGTGTGAAGTTGGTGTGAAGTTGGTGTGAAGTTGGTGTGAAGTCGTCGTGAAGTTGGTGTGAAGTTGGTGTGAAGTTGGTGTGAAGTTGGTGTGAGGTCGGTGTGAAGTTGGTGTGAAGTTGGTGTGAGGTCGGTGTGAAGTCGTCGGTGTCGGTGTGAAGTTGGTGTGAAGTCGGTGTTGGTGTGAAGTTGGTGTGAAGTCGTCGGTGTGAAGTTGGTGTGAAGTCGGTGTCGGTGTGAAGTCGATGTGAATTCGTCGTGAAGTCGTCAACGATGATGATGATGATGACGATGATAACGACGATGATGATGACGACGACGATGATAACGACGATGACGACGACGACGATGATGACGGGAAGAGGGGGTCGTGGGGCCGCGCTAAGGGCCACGCGACGGGCCTCGTGACGGAGAACGCTGCTGTGCTAGAGGCTACCTGGGGGGCCTTTGTCTTTGTGGACAGGTGTACCAGGAGAACGTTTATGCCGACGGCTGCGAGTTCCACTCCTTCAAGAAGGTGCTGTTTGAGATGGGGGCCGAGTTCAGCGAGAGGGTGGAGCTGGCGTCCTTCCACTCCACCTCCAAGGGCTACCTGGGCGAGTGAGAGACTCACCCACGGACTCACACAGAGACCCACAGACTCACTCACACAGAGACCCATAGACTCACTCACACAGAGACCCACAGACTCACACAGAGACCCACAGACTCATCACACAGAGACCCACAGACTCATCACACAGAGACCCACAGACTCATCACACAGAGACCCACAGACTCACTCACACAGAGACCCATAGACTCACTCACACAGAGACCCATGGACTCATCACACAAAGACCCACAGACTCACACAGAGACCCACAGACTCATCACACAGAGACCCATAGACTCACCACACAGAGACCCATAGACTCACTCACACAGAGACCCATAGACTCACCACACAGAGACCCATAGACTCACTCACACAGAGACCCATAGACTCACTCACACAGAGACCCATAGACTCACTCACACAGAGAACCCATAGACTCACTCACACAGAGACCCATAGACTCACTCACACAGAGATCCCATAGACTCACCACACAAAGACCCATAGACTCACTCACACAGAGATCCCATAGACTCACCACACATAGACCCATAGACTCACTCACACAGAGATCCCATAGACTCACCACACAGAGACCCATAGACTCACTCACACAGAGACCCATGGACTCATCACACAGAGACCCATAGACTCATCACACAGAGTCCCATAGACTCACTCACACAGAGACCCATAGACTCATCACACAGAGACCCATAGACTCACTCACACAGAGACCCATAGACTCACTCACACAGAGACCCATAGACTCACTCACACAGAGAACCCATAGACTCACTCACACAGAGACCCATAGACTCACTCACACAGAGACCCATAGACTCACTCACACAGAGACCCATAGACTCACTCACACAGAGACCCATAGACTCACACAAAACAGAGATCACATAGACTCACGTAGAGTCCATCACAGCCAGCAAAGCAGTTGCAGGGCTGCGCCTTTACCTGGCCTGGCGACCGCCCTCCCCCCCCCTCCCCCTCCCCCAGATGTGGCTTCCGTGGCGGCTACATGGAGGTGGTGAACCTGGAGGCGGAGGTGAAGGCGCAGCTCTTGAAGCTGGTGTCGGTGCGGCTGTGCCCGCCGGTGCCGGGCCAGGCGGCGCTGGGCGTGATGGTGAACCCCCCGCAGGCCGGGGAGCCCTCGCACGCCGCCTTCGTCAGGGTGAGCACTAGCACCGTGACACTGTGACACTGTGACACTCTCACTGTGACACTGTCACTGTGACACTGTGACACTAGCACTGTGACACTAGCACTGTGACACTGTGACACTAGCACTGTGACACTGTGACACTAGCACTGTGACACTAGCACTGTGACACTGTGACACTGTGACAGTGTCACAGTGTGACACTAGCACTGTGACACTGTGACACTAGCACTGTGACACTAGCACTGTGACACTGTGACACTGTGACATTGTGACACTGTCACACTGTGACACTAGCACTGTGACACTGTGACACTGTCACTGTGACACTGTGACACTGTCACTGTGACACTGTGACACTGTGTCACTGTGACACTGGGACACTAGCACTGTGACACTGTGGCACTGTGACACTGTGACACTGTGACACTGCCACTGTGACACTGTGACACTAGCACTGTGACACTGTGACACTGTGACACTAGCACTGTGACACTAGCACTGTGACACTGTGACACTGTCACTGTGACACTGTGACACTGTCACTGTGACACTGTGACACTGTCACTGTGACACTGTGACACTGTCACTGTGACACTGTGACACTGTGACACTGTCACTGTGACACTGTGACACTGTCACTGTGACACTAGCACTGTGACACTGTCACTGTGACACTGTGACACTGTCACTGTGACACTAGCACTGTGACACTGTGACACTAGCACTGTGACACTGTGACACTAGCACTGTGACACTAGCACTGTGACACTAGCACTGTGACACTGTGACACTAGCACTGTGACACTGTGACACTGTGACACTAGCACTGTGACACTGTGACACTAGCACTGTGACACTAGCACTGTGACACTGTGACACTCTCACTGTGACACTCTCACTGTGACACTGTCACTGTGACACTGTGACACTGTGACACTAGCACTGTGACACTAGCACTGTGACACTGTGACACTAGCACTGTGACACTGTGACACTGTGACACTAGCACTGTGACACTAGCACTGTGACACTGTGACACTAGCACTGTGACACTCTCACTGTGACACTAGCACTGTGACACTAGCACTGTGACACTAGCACTGTGACACTAGCACTGTGACACTGTGACACTAGCACTGTGACACTGTGACACTAGCACTGTGACACTAGCACTGTGACACTGTGACACTAGCACTGTGACACTCTCACTGTGACACTAGCACTGTGACACTAGCACTGTGACACTAGCACTGTGACACTAGCACTGTGACACTGACACTAGCACTGTGACACTAGCACTGTGACACTGTGACACTAGCACTGTGACACTGTGACAATAGCACTGTGACACTAGCACTGTGACACTCTCACTAGCACTGTGACACTCTCACTGTGACACTAGCACTGTGACACTGTGATACTAGCACTGTGACACTAGCACTTTGACACTCTCACTAGCACTGTGACACTGTGACACTCTCACTGTGACACTGTGACACTAGCACTGTGACACTGTGACACTCTCACTGTGACACTGTGACACTGTGACACTAGCACTGTGACACTAGCACTGTGACACTGTGACACTAGCACTGTGACACTAGCACTGTGACACTCTCACTAGCACTGTGACACTCTCACTGTGACACTCTCACTGTGACACTATCACTGTGTCACTCTCACTAGCACTGTGACACTCTCACTGTGACACTGTGACACTCTCACTGTGACACTCACTGTGACACTCTCACTGTGACACTATCACTGTGTCATTCTCACTAGCACTGTGACACTCACTGTGACACTCTCACTGTGACATTGTGACACTCTCACTGTGACACTAGCACTGTGACACTCTCACTGTGACACTCTCACTGTGACACTCTCACTGTGACACTCTCACTGTGACACTCTCACTGTGTCACTCTCACTAGCACTGTGACACTCACTGTGCCACTCACTGTGACACTCTCACTGTGACACTGTGACACTCTCACTGTGACACTGTGACACTCTCACTGTGACACTCTCACTGTGACACTCTCACTAGCACTGTGACACTCTCACTAGCACTGTGACACTCTCACTAGCACTGTGACACTCTCACTGTGACACTCTCACTGTGACACTCTCACTGTGACACTCTCACTAGCACTGTGACACTCTCACTAGCACTGTGCCACTCTCTGTCAAGAGGGCCCTGGGCGATCATCGCCGCTGTGTGGGCTGCTCATTGCACGACTTTGTTGTTGTTGTTGTTGTTGACGTTGTTGTTGTTGTGTCCGTGTGCCACTCAGGAGAGGCAGGCCGTGCTTAGCGACCTGGCCGAGAAGTCCCGGCTCACGGAGAATCTCCTCAACGCCATCCCTGGCATCCACTGCAACCCCGTGCAGGGCGCGATGTACGCCTTCCCACGCATCACCCTGCCGGCACGCGCCCTGCAGGAAGCCGCGGTGAGACTCCCTGCCTCGCCGCGTCACTCCCTGTCTTTGGTTGCGGTGTTGTTGGTGTTGTTGTTGCTGATGTTGTGGTGGTTGTGGTGGTGGCGTAGGCTGCTGGCGTGGCTCCGGACATGTTCTACTGCATGCGGCTGCTGGAGGAGACGGGGATTTGCCTCGTGCCCGGCAGCGGCTTTGGCCAGAAGGAGGAGACGCACCACTTCAGGTGAAGCACTACCGCACGCACGCACACACGCACGCACGCACACCCACGCACACACGCACACACGCACACGCACGCATGCACACGCACACACAAAGATCTCCCGTGTAGCTTGGACACACTGTTAGGGCAAGTGCTGTTAGCGAGTAGCAGCGCCTACGAAGGCCGATACGGCACACAAGGGGGAGGGTGGTCAGCGCCACGCACGGCCGCCTTTGTCTCCCCAGTGGCGATGTTTACTACACACCGCACCAGGTACTCATTTGAGGCCGAGTCGACCTAGGGGAGGCCTAGGACCGGTTCGGATAATCGTCACTGGTGGTGTTGGTGGCCGTGAGCGGGAATCGAACCCGGGACGCCGGGTTTGTAGCGCTAACTGCCGTGCCACCGGTACACTACCGCACTACTAAACAGACACAGTGACACACACACTGACACACACACAGACACACACACACACACACTGACACACACACTGACACACACACACTGACACACACACACACAGACACACACACACTGACACACACACAGACACACACACTGACACACACACTGACACACACACTGACACACACACAGACACACACACTGACACACACACAGTGACACACACACTGACACAAACACAGACACACACACTGACACACACACAGTGACACACACAGTGACACACACACTGACACACACACAGTGACACAAAAGATAAGACAAAGATCCCCCATATAGCCTTAACAGACTGTAGGGGCAAGTGCTGTTAGCGAGCACCTATGAAGGCCGAAACGGTACACGAGGGGGTGGGTGGCCAGCACCACGCCCGACCGCCTTTGTCTCCCTAGTGGCGATGTTTACACACCGCACCAGGTACTCATTTGAGGCTGAGTCGACCTAGGGGAGGCCCGGGACCGGTTCAGATAATCGTCACTGGTGTTGGCCGTGAGCGGGAATCGAACCCGGGTCGCCAGGTTCATAGCGCAGCGTAGCGCTAACCGCTACACTATCGCTCCTCGAGCGTCTAATGCAGCCTTGATGCCTTGCAATCGGTATTTGGTGTGTTATTGCCAGAAAGGTTAAAACCAACTTTCGCATCAGTTTGGGACTGGCAGAAAGGTCCCGAAGATACTTGTGAGTGGAGTTTGTATGATCTCCCCCTGTTCTACAGAGTGAGTGAGTGGAGTTTGTGTGATCTCTCCCTGTTCTACAGAGTGAGTGAGTGGAGTTTGTATGATCTCCCCCTGTTCTACAGAGTGAGTGAGTGGAGTTTGTATGATCTCCCCCTGTTCTACACAGTGAGTGAGTGGAGTTTGTGTGATCTCCCCCTGTTCTACACAGTGAGTGAGTGGAGTTTGTGTGATCTCTCCCTGTTCTACAGAGTGAGTGAGTGGAGTTTGTGTGATCTCTCCCTGTTCTACACAGTGAGTGAGTGGAGTTTGTGTGATCTCCCCCTGTTCTACAGAGTGAGTGAGTGGAGTTTGTATGATCTCCCCCTGTTCTACAGAGTGAGTGAGTGGAGTTTGTGTGATCTCCCCCTGTTCTACACAGTGAGTGAGTGGAGTTTGTGTGATCTCCCCCTGTTCTACAGAGTGAGTGAGTGGAGTTTGTATGATCTCCCCCTGTTCTACAGAGTGAGTGAGTGGAGTTTGTATGATCTCTCCCTGTTCTACACAGTGCGTGAGTGGAGTTTGTGTGATCTCTCCCTGTTCTACAGAGTGAGTGAGTGAGTGGAGTTTGTGTGATCTCTCCCTGTTCTACAGAGTGAGTGAGTGCAGTTTGTGTGATCTCTCCCTGTTCTACAGAGTGAGTGAGTGAGTGGAGTTTGTGTGATCTCTCCCTGTTCTACAGAGTGAGTGAGTGCAGTTTGTGTGATCTCTCCCTGTTCTACAGAGTGAGTGAGTGGAGTTTGTGTGATCTCCCCCTGTTCTACAGAGTGAGTGAGTGGAGTTTGTGTGATCTCCCCCTGTTCTACACAGTGAGTGAGTGGAGTTTGTATGATCTCTCCCTGTTCTACACAGTGAGTGAGTGGAGTTTGTGTGATCTTCCCCTGTTCTACAGAGTGAGTGAGTGGAGTTTGTATGATCTCCCCCTGTTCTACACAGTGAGTGAGTGGAGTTTTTGTGATCTCCCCCTGTTCTACACAGTGAGTGAGTGGAGTTTGTATGATCTCTCCCTGTTCTACACAGTGAGTGAGTGGAGTTTGTGTGATCTCCCTCTGTTCTACAGAGTGAGTGAGTGGAGTTTGTGTGATCTCTCCCTGTTCTACACAGTGAGTGAGTGGAGTTTGTATGATCTCTTCCTGTTCTACACAGTGAGTGAGTGGAGTTTGTGTGATCTCCCCCTGTTCTACAGAGTGAGTGAGTGGAGTTTGTATGATCTCCCCCTGTTCTACACAGTGAGTGAGTGGAGTTTGTGTGATCTCCCCCTGTTCTACACAGTGAGTGAGTGGAGTTTGTGTGATCTCCCCCTGTTCTACAGAGTGAGTGAGTGGAGTTTGTATGATCTCCCCCTGTTCTACACAGTGAGTGAGTGGAGTTTGTGTGATCTCCCCCTGTTCTACACAGTGAGTGAGTGGAGTTTGTATGATCTCTCCCTGTTCTACACAGTGAGTGAGTGGAGTTTGTGTGATCTCCCTCTGTTCTACAGAGTGAGTGAGTGGAGTTTGTGTGATCTCTCCCTGTTCTACACAGTGAGTGAGTGGAGTTTGTGTGATCTCTCCCTGTTCTACAGAGTGAGTGAGTGGAGTTTGTGTGATCTCTCCCTGTTCTACACAGTGAGTGAGTGGAGTTTGTGTGATCTCCCCCTGTTCTACAGAGTGAGTGAGTGAGTGGAGTTTGTGTGATCTCTCCCTGTTCTACACAGTGAGTGAGTGGAGTTTGTGTGATCTCCCTCTGTTCTACAGAGTGAGTGAGTGGAGTTTGTGTGATCTCTCCCTGTTCTACACAGTGAGTGAGTGGAGTTTGTGTGATCTCTCCCTGTTCTACAGAGTGAGTGAGTGGAGTTTGTGTGATCTCTCCCTGTTCTACACAGTGAGTGAGTGGAGTTTGTGTGATCTCCCCCTGTTCTACAGAGTGAGTGAGTGGAGTTTGTGTGATCCCCCTCTGTTCTACAGAGTGAGTGAGTGGAGTTTGTGTGATCTCCCCCTGTTCTACAGAGTGAGTGAGTGGAGTTTGTGTGATCTCCCCCTGTTCTACACAGTGATTGAGTGGAGTTTGTGTGATCTCCCCCTGTTCTACACAGTGAGTGAGTGGAGTTTGTGTGATTTCCCTCTGTTCTACAGAGTGAGTGAGTGGAGTTTGTGTGATCTCCCTCTGTTCTACAGAGTGAGTGAGTGGAGTTTGTGTGATCTCCCCCTGTTCTACAGAGTGAGTGAGTGGAGTTTGTATGATCTCCCCCTGTACTACTGAGTGAGTGAGTGGAGTTTGTATGATCTCCCTCTGTACTACACAGTGAGTGAGTGAGTGGAGTTTGTATGATCTCCCTCTGTACTACACAGTGAGTGAGTGGAGTTTGTATGATCTCCCTCTGCACTACTGAGTGAGTGGAGTTTGCGTGTTCTCTCTCTCTCCGTGGGTTCCGTTCCGGGTTCTCCTCCCCATAGCTACAACAACCCCACATGCAGTGTAGCCGCTTCCGGCTAAAAATGCCACATCCGCAGTGCTGAAAAATCACCTCTGCCAGTTGCTTAATCCGGATTACACACAGCAGCAGCGGAAACAGCAGCAGCAGCAGCAGCTTCAACACCATGGCAGGCCCCTCCTGAATACTCGCCAAGGCTTTCCTGGACAAACAACAACAGCAACAACAATAATAACTTCCATCAGAGAGAGAGAGAGAGTGCGAGAGAGAGAGAGGGAGAGAGAGACCGACATTTCCACCAATCACTCGTCTGGTGACCGACCGCTGATTATCCCTCCTCTCCCATGACCCCCCCGCCCCCCACGGCCACCTCGTGAACAGGATGACGATCTTGCCGCCCGTGGCCAAGCTGAAGGTGCTGCTGGAGAAGCTTGCCGCCTTCCACGTCCGCTTCACCCACGACTTCTCGTAGGGGGCTGGGGGGCAAGCCCCTCCCCCCCCCCACCACCGACCCCTCCCCTCCCACCGCCCCCCCCCACCCCACCGTGTGCTCAGATTTTTACCCAGAGGGATGTTTTAAAAATAAAAAGATTCGGGCGGACCGGTCATTAGCCCCACCGCCGCCACCGCCGCCATCAGCTGATCGTTGGCGCAGCGACCGCGGGGGGGGGGGGGGGGGTCATCACGTGATGGGGGGGAGAGGGGGGGTCATCACGTGATGGGGGGGAGAGGAGGGGGGACGCTCCCGTCGTGTGGTTAACAAGAACGGCCCGCAGAAGCGGACTTCACAGAGCTACCTCCGAGATCCCTTCCTCTTCGTAGAGGGGGGCAGCCGCGGTGGCAATGAGATGTTAACCGCCTCACCTGGTATGCAGGAGGTCGTGGGTTCGATTATGACCCTGACGACGCCTGCTGCTGCTGCTGCTGTATATTTGTAGTTTGCATTGTGTCTCTCCCCGTGGTCCGTGCGGATTCTGCAACGGGTCCTCCGGGTTTTTCCCGTCCACATTTGAGAATCAACGCCAGGCGTCTGGAGACGATTTGGCTGCTCGAAATGTCCACGTGATGATAGGCCGCTTCGTTGAGCCATCATTTGTGACGGCCAGGTCGCTCAGTGGGGCCTTACCCGATAAGATAAAAATAAATAGTTTAGTTTTAGTGGTGCTCTGGTCCACACAGAACGGCCCACGGAAGTGCACATCACAGAGCTGAGCTACCTCTGAGATCCCCTTCTGCTTTAAGCGATCCACACGCATAGTAGAGGGGGGGGGGGGCGGCGGGGGGTGGGGGGCACCTTCCCACACGCCCGGCCCGCCACGCGAGAGCAATGCTCGTTGAAGTGCACAATCCTAATTGAACGCGATTGTTTTTTTAAAAAGTTTTAATTTTCTTAGTGCGCAGTCATCGGTGACTGGAGCCGAGGCGGACACCCAACGCGCTGTGCCGCCAGATCGCCCGGTTCCATCGCCCGGTTGGATCATCCGGTTCCATCGCCCGGGTCGATCGCCCGCTTGGATCATCCGGTTCCATCGCCCGGGTCGATCGCCCGCTTGGATCATCCGGTTCCATCGCCCGGGTCGATCGCCCGCTTGGATCATCCGGTTCCATCGCCCGGTTCGATCGCCCGCTTGGATCATCCGGTTCCATCGCCCGGGTCGATCGCCCGGTTCGATCGCCAGCTACGATCGCCTGATTCGATCGCCCGCTTAGATCATCCGGTTCGATCGCCCGGGTCGATCGCCCGGGTCGATCGCCCATTACGATCACCTGGTTCGATCGCCGGTTCGATCATCCACTTCGATCGCCCGGTTCGATCGTCCGCTCGACCCGGGCCGTCCACCCGGAGCGGCCAAGCGGGGGTGGGGTGGGGGGAGCGCCCGTCGGTCGAAACCGCTCCCCCGATGATGGCGAATTCTGCTTTTAACATTTAATCGGCGAGGTTTCCTCTCCGTGCGCCCCATTATCTTTTAACAGATCTCCTAGACATGCCGTGGCCTAGTTCGGCGTGGTGGGGGGTCACGTGCCCCGCGACGTCCAACGTCACGGCAATACCCCATTGTTTCCACGAATGCCGCCGTCTGCGATCCCCGTAGAACGTCCTTCACCGCGTTGGTTATGAACATTGCACATGAAGCGATGTGAAAGGCACGGCGCGTGGCACGGCGCGTGGCACGGCGCGTGGCACGGCGCGTGGCACGGCGCGTGGCACGGCGCGTGGCACCGCCGTGGTGCACAGAACACGGCCTGCGGTGGTTTCACCGAAGTGGGGCGACAGTTGCCGCCGTGCGCCATCTCGATCGAGCCATTTGCGGTGTGATATGTTTTTATTATCATCATGATGATGATTATTATTATCTCGAACTCGGCTCAAATTTGACCCAGCCTCTCATTTCCGAACGACGCCAACGCAGCCTATTAGCAACGGCACCCGGGGCGGAATACGTGGCGTGTTTTGTGGTTGACGACTCCAACACGTTCCACGGCATTAACCAGGGCGGCCTGCCGGGGTTCGAAGCGCGAACGGCACCGCCACTGCTGCCACCACCACCACCACCACCACGCTCGCCCTTCGCTGACGACGGCGGCGTCGCCGGCGGTGGCTGCGACAGCGATGGCCGTATATATTTATTTTCTCCTTCGGATTGTCTCGCCGCAGCCCGGCAATTGTTTGCGCCCGTCGGTGAAGGGACGCACGTGACCGTTTTGAGCCACGTGTAGGCAGCGCGAGCGACCCTTTCTCTCGTCGAGAAGCGGGCAACGAGAGGGCTTAATTCCAGCCGGCTCTGACCCCCACGGGGGTCACTAGACACACCACATCCGGTATAACTCTCCTTCTCTGGCTGCAGAATCTGAATATTTGTTCATACTGGAGGAATCCGATGAGCTATTAAGCTCTTTTTCACACACGTCCAATAGTTTCACAGTAGCCTGCCACCGATCCTGTGCGCGATTCCCATTGCCCATCTCACAAGCGGCGTGCCATAGACATCTATAAGAGGCTCGTGGAATTGCGCAGAGACAGACGAACACACGTTTTGCGGAGGATCGTAAGCTTGCCTCAGAGACCCAACCACTTGCACGGAGGCTCATTGGCTGACAGAGAGACGCACAAAGTTCTATAGAGGCTCATAGACTCGTATAACCCGTGGACTTACATATTCATAAACGAAAACGGACCCGAGTCACACGGAGTGATCCATACACTTATAGAGATTCGTATACTCTTGCAGAGCCATGGACTCACGTGTAGATACAGTGACTCGCACAGAGAGCCCCGGGGTTGTGATTGCGATGATCGCAGAGCCACTGTGCACGTGAAGCACAGGCGGGCTAGTGATTATAGACTCGTCATGACGATTACAAAATACTTACACTGTGATTAATTATAGTAGGTCTAATGCAATTAGCGTATCACCATGCATTGGCCATGGGATTGCTAAGCCAAGGGCAGCACCAATCGTGGTGCATTCTGGGATTGCTAAGCCGAGGGCAGCACCAATCGTGGTGCATTCTGGGATTGCTAAGCCGAGGGCCGCACCGATCGTGGTGCATCCTGGGATTGCTAAGCCGAGGGCAGCACCGATCGTGGTGCATTCTGGGATTGCTAAGCCGAGGGCAGCACCAATCGTGGTGCATCCTGGGATTGCTAAGCCGAGGGCAGCACCAATCGTGGTGCATTCTGGGATTGCTAAGCCAAGGGCAGCACCGATCGTGGTGCATTCTGGGATTGCTAAGCCGAGGGCAGCACCAATCGTGGTGCATCCTGGGATTGCTAAGCCGAGGGCAGCACCGATCGTGGTGCATTCTGGGATTGCTAAGCCGAGGGCAGCACCAATCGTGGTGCATCCTGGGATTGCTAAGCCGAGGGCAGCACCAATCGTGGTGCATCCTGGGATTGCTAAGCCGAGGGCAGCACCAATCGTGGTGCATCCTGGGATTGCTAAGCCAAGGGCAGCACCGATCGTGGTGCATCCTGGGATTGCTAAGCCGAGGGCAGCACCAATCGTGGTGCATCCTGGGATTGCTAAGCCGAGGGCAGCACCAATCGCGGTGCATTCTGGGATTGCTAAGCTGAGGGCAGCACCAATCGTGGTGCATTCTGGGATTGCTAAGTCAAGAGCAGCACCGATGAGGCCCTACGGGATGAAGGGAGACACAACTCCACAACACTAACGCCCTTTGTCCTGTAGGTAACCCATGCTGTGTGTTGCAGGGGCTGCCCCACGCAAGTTTTAACCTGGCAAGGGTTTGCGGGGGGGGGGGGGGCGGGGAAATGAGATAGCCACTTATTTTTGTAAATTGGTGGTAGACCACTGGCACTTTGCAATGATTGTAGCTGCCAGTATATAGTGCCTTTACAGACCGGGCGTTGTAACACGTCGTGCCTTCTCGTGCATTAATGAGCCACAGCCGTGCTTTACAGATGTTTCATAAATGCTATGATCGAGAGACGCCGCGTGTCCCTTTTGTGTCTTTGTCTAGCTGTGTATCAACAACAACCGCCACTAAGTTGCGGTGACGTCACCACGACGCTTGTGCCATGCTATGGGCACCTTGAGGCCACGTGAAGTGTCGAACGCCCGCTGGCAGGAGGTCACGGGGCAGACCCCGGGGCAGACCCCGTGACCTCAGCCCTTGGCTTAGCTGTGCGTTAGCCACCCGTCGCTCCGCTCGTTGTTGTGAGCATCGCTCCTCCACCCTCCGTTGATGTTGGAGGGCGACTGCCTTCAACTGCCCAGTAGCGTCTTTCACGAGCCTCCTCCACAGAGGCCGATCTTGACACCGCTGGTACCAGTCATCGGCAAGTTCACTCAGCTCCATGTCCTGTACTACATCACTGCCGTGCCCGTTTCGCCCCCTCGATCCGGCCGAACAAAAGCTGTTTAGGCGTGCGGTGGCTGGGCATGCGGGCTACATGACCCAGCCAACGCAGCCTTGACTGCCGGAGGAGCTCAGCGATGGGATTTTGCCCAGATCTTTCAAGGATTTGTGAGCTCACACAATCCAGCCTGGTTAAACCCAGGATGGATCTTAGGCAGGCCAGCCTCAATGTTTCTACCCGGCGAAGATGTTCCATTAGGGGGGTCCACGTTTCGCAAGCGTAGAGAAGGAAGGGAATGACCGTGGCCGAGAAGACCTGAAGCTTCGTGCTGAGCGACAGACCCAGGTAGCTTCCACACAGCGTTACGCAACCGATGAAAAGATATTGCCGCTCGACTGATTCGGAGTGAGACCTCTGCTGTTAAACCAGAGCCGGTCATGAGCACACTGCCCAGGTATGGGAAACTCTCCACTCTCTCCACAACTGTCCCATCACCGATTGGGAGTTGTGGGGGTGGAGTGTCCGATGGTACAAAATACCCAGGCAGGTGCTTCATTTTGGGGGGGCTGATGGTAAGGCCCCATCTCTTAGTGGCACGCTCCAGTCTCAGCAGCAGCGTCTCCAACTCCTCTGAATGAGCAGCAATTACCAAATCATCGGCATACATAACGTGGTTGACCAATGGGGAGCCATCCCTGGACCGCACCCGGGCATCGATCAGCCTCCCATTATATCTGTACCAAATGGAAATTCCTCCGGTACAGCTATTGAAGGCTTCACGAACTACGTGGTCAAAATAGATGTTAAATAATGTGGGAGCCAGAGGACACCCCTGTCGCACCCCAAGGTGTACAGGGAATGGCTCTGACTCCCGGCCACGTAGTTTTACCCGGGCTCACTCACCATCATGAAGGTCCTTAATGATCGTGATCAGAGGGTCAGGGACTCCGAAAGCACGAAGAACAACCCAGAGGCCAGGCCTACTGATGGTATCATAGGCCTTGACCAGGTTAATAAAGCAGAGATGTAGGTCTTGTTGGAATTCCCTACACCTCTGCTGTAGCAGACGGACAGAAAATATGGCATCTGTGCAGGACCGCCCTTTCCTGAAACCGCATTGGGGCTCCGCAAGCCCCTCCTCGGCGTGCCTGGCAAGGCGATGTTGAATAATCCTTGCCAGGACCTTTCCATGCACACGTAGGAGTGAGATGCCCCTGGAGTTGTTAGGTGTGTGTATACACACACAGGTGTGGTCCAGATGTATTGTGACTCACATTTCAATATCTAAAACGTGATGTTTTTTTTAAAGTAAGGTTTATTGAAAACGTAAATGAATATGCAAGGGAGGGGGGGGGGGATTTTTGGGATTAATTATTTTTGGGTCACAAAACATCTGGGCCACCCTGGACAGCGCTGTGTATTATATTGGGGAGCGGTGGCGCAGTGGTTAGCGCAGCGAACCCGGCGGAGACTTCCGAGCCCGAAGGGAACGTTGGTGGGACGTTTGATAATTCGTTTGACCTTCGCAACGGTAGCAACCGAGCCCGCCACCACCATTCCAACTGGGAAAGGAAAGGGAAGCGTTCGTGAATCCGAACATCCAGCCGACAGGTGAGCGACTTTGTGGCCATCTTAGTTGGGGGGAACCTGCACGCAATGACTGGTGGCCATCTTAGGTAGGGCACCTGCACGACAGTGAATGACCGGCGGCCATCTTAGGGAGGGGAACCGCGACAGTGACTGGTAGCCATCTTAGGTAGGGGAAGCTGCCCATCAGTGAGTGACTGGTGGCCATGTTAGGTGGGGGGAATTTCCTATAGGTGAATAACTTGTGAGCCATCAAGAGGGGGGGGGTGTACCTCGCCTGCTAGACGAGCGAGTAACTGATGGCCATCTTAGGTGGGGGTGGGGAGGGGGAAAACACTACAGTTGCACAACTGGTGGCCATCTTAGGTGGGGGGAAACTCCCCTACAGTTGCACAACTGGTGGCCATGTTAGGTCGGGGTCCTCCAGTTGCGTGAGCAATTGGTGACGTCCACCCCTCGGACCCGCCGACGCCTCTCCTCTCCTCACCGACTCCGCCCGTGCCCCGCGGACGGACGATGTCGGCGCTTCGCTACGCGGGCCTGGACGACACGGACAGCGAGGACGAACTGCCGCCGGCCTGGGAGGAGCGGTCGACGCCGGACGGATGGATTTACTACGTCAAGTGAGCGGGACGGGATGGGGGGGGAGGTTGTTACTGACGTACTGGAACATCCGTGTGTACGGGGTTTAGGGCTGGGGGGGGGTGGTGAACGAGCTTCGTGGCTTATACGGATTTTGACCGCGACAAAGAGAGATGTGTTTTTTTTAATCCTCGTGCTCGGGGTGAGGACGACAACTTTGAACATCAACAACGAACAAATTAAGAAAAATCGCCGGATCGATTTGGGCACGGTGAGCGCCGGGAATCGAATCGATTCATTTTGCCGTCCCCCCCTCTCTCCGTGGTGCGCGCTCGGAATCGCGAAGCGAGAGCGGCGTCGAGAAATCGATTTGGTTTCGATTCTTAAAATGTGTTGATTTTTCTGAGGGGTGGGGGGGAGGGTCGGGAGAGAACGGAGCAGCACACGCGGGACAGCGCACACGGGACAGTACACGCGGGACAGTACACACGGGACAGTACACACGGGACAGGGCAGTACACAGCGCAGTGGAACACAGCGCAGTGACACACAGCGCAGTGAAACACGGCGCAGTGAAACACAGCGCAGTGAAACACAGCTCAGTGAAACACAGCGCGGTGAAACAGCGCGGTGAAACAGCGCGGTGAAACACAGCGCGGTGAAACACAGCGCGGTGAAACACAGCTCGGTGAAACACAGCGCGGTGAAACACAGCGCGGTGAAACACAGCGCGGTGAAACACAGCGCGGTGAAACACAGCGCAGTGAAACACAGCGCAGTGAAACACAGCGCAGTGAAACACAGCGCAGTGAAACACAGCGCAGTGAAACACAGCGCAGTGAAACACAGCGCAGTGAAACACAGCGCAGTGAAACACAGCGCAGTGAAACACAGCGCAGTGAAACACAGCGCAGTGAAACACAGCGCAGTGAAACACAGCGCAGTGAAACAGCGCAGTGAAACACAGCGCAGTGAAACAGCACAGTGAAACACAGCGCAGTGAAACACAGCGCAGTGAAACACAGCGCAGTGAAACACAGCTCAGTGAAACACAGCGCAGTGAAACACAGCGCAGTGGCACACAGCACAGTGAAACACAGCTCAGTGAAACACAGCGCAGTGAAACACAGCGCAGTGGCACACAGCGCAGTGAAACACAGCGCAGTGAAACACAGCGCAGTGAAACACAGCGCAGTGAAACACAGCTCAGTGAAACACAGCGCAGTGAAACAGCGCAGTGAAACACAGCGCAGTGAAACACAGCGCAGTGAAACACAGCGCAGTGAAACACAGCGCAGTGAAACACAGCGCAGTGAAACACAGCGCAGTGAAACACAGCTCAGTGAAACACAGCGCAGTGAAACACAGCACAGACCACGCAGTGTCGGCACTGCAGAATCTAAATCTATGTATTTAGGCTGCAGGAGGAGCAATCCGATGAGCTGTGAAGCTCTGTTGTCACAGATGTCCAATATGGGTACTGGGGTCAGCAAGTTACGACAACAAACGATTTGACTTTGTTTTAAATTTGATCGGGTAAGACTCCACTGAGCCATACTGATCTTCACTTAAAGCTTTCGTGACTGCAAGAATTCATTTTCTTTGGGTTAAAGCCACGTAGATAGGTTCAAAGTAAATAACAAAAAGCCGCGATGTTGCCATCGCAACACAAGCGGTCGTCTTTGAACCTATCTACGTGACTTTACCGAAAGGCCCAAAGAATACGAATTGATATTTTCCGTAAGCGACCGGGCCATCACAAATGATAGCTCAACGAAACGGCGTATCGCCGTCATCATCGTCACGTGGAAATTTACCGTGGCAGCCGAATACTCGATAAACGCGTGATGTGAATCCTGGAGGACCCGGAGGAAATTCAACACGACCTCGGGGAAAGAGAGAGACACGTAAACTACAAATATACAGCAGCAGCAGCAGGCGTCAGGTTCGGGATCAAACCCACGACCTCCTGTATACCAGGCGAGGTAGTTAACATCTCCTAGCCACCGTGATGATGATGAGAGAGAGACACTTAGGCTCCAAATATACAGCAGCAGCAGGCGTCAGGATCAGGATCGAACCCACGACCTCCTGCGTACCAGGCGAGGTAGTTAACATCTCCTAGCCACCGTGATGATGATGATGAGAGAGACACGCAGACTCCAAATATACAGCAGCAGGCGTCAGGATCGGGATCGAACCCACGACCTCCTGCATACCAGGCGAGGTAGTCAACATCTCCTAGCCACTGCGGCGCCCCAAATACTAGGAACCCATCTTCTCTCACTAGATTTGATATTTTGTCTGCATTCACGACAATGACTGTTACCCAGGAAAAACCTCACCGATGTATCAACTCTTTTGTTTTTGTCACGGGGGGCTTTGCCAGCTTTGCACAGCGGGGGGCGATGCTGCCGCTGTGTAGAGTCTACCATAGGGCACCCCAAGTGGCAGCTGTTCCTTTGCCATCCCTGTTAACCCCTTATCAGTGCACTAACTTGTTACAGACCAACTCAGACCTTATTGGTCACCCCGTGCCCCTTTTAAATCTCAACGTTCATCCTACATCACAAGGGAGAAACACAAACAGATAGACAAATCTTTGTGCCCGTATGGAGACGGCTGTAGGCCATCGTATGGACCTGAAACCTCGATTTCCCTGCACAAGAATACGGCTAGACCGTGTGGGTTGTCAGGTGTGCATTACGTTCGTCTGCCAGTAGGGTGTGGCTGGGTAGAGGGGTGGTGGCAATATCGCTGCTGCTGCTGCTCTGTGGGATCCCAATCAAGTCATGGGCAGGTCAACATTTCAGCATTGGAGATGTGGCATTGGCCGCCTCCAGTTACCTCCGATTGGCACGGTGCGAAAGAAGTTGAACGTAACGCCGTGCGTGCGGGGCGAGGGTTTGCTTAGTTTATTTTTTTCAGTTTCCGGAGGAAATTTGGAGAACCCAGAGGAAGGCGATGCGGAAGAGGGAGAGAAAGAGAAAACACCAACGCCACACACGGGCAAAGGCAGCACCCCATTCGGGAATCGGAACCCAAGGCCCCCTTTGCTTTGCGCGCGCGTCACACGCTGCACTGCCGCCGCCACCACCCCTCGACGATTCTCAGGATGGTACACGGGAGGAATCCGATGAGCTATAAAGCTTCTTTGGTTCTTTCGGTAAAGTCACGTAGAATGAGAATAAAATAATACATTTATAAAATAAAATAACACAATAAAATTCTCACGACGTTTCGGCCACAACACAAGTGGCCTTCATCAGGTGAAGGGACGAGATTGTCTCGAGGACAGCACTGGAGCGAACACAGCCAAGATCAGACCGTGACCTTTAAGCTGCGTGAGAAGAAACAGAGCGCCTTGACAAAGGAATTAGCATAAAAATTAGCATTTAATTGGCAGACTTAGCTCTTTTTTTTCCGCAGATGCCCAGTCGGGGCACGGGGTAAGAACGTTACAGCAACAAACTCGGCTACAAAAACACGCGTGCCCTTTGGTTCTGTTCGGTAAAGTCCACGTAGTAGGTATACAACTAAATAAATTCAATCACGACGTTTTCGGGCGGAACACAAGTGCCCATCATCAGGTGGAACAGCCACAGCAAAAAACATTTGCCCGCTACGGCAACAATTGCCCACTTCGGCAATTGTTGATTGCTGTGGCTGTTCCACCTGATGACAGGGGCACTTGAGCTGCGCCCGAAACGTCGTGATTTAATTTACTTTGTTTTCCACCCCCTACGCGGACCTTACCGAAAAGAAGCAAAGGCTGTGGATACCTGCAGTCACGAAAACTTCAGCATCACCCAAACACAAACAAACACAACGATAAACCATCCACCATCCTACCAGGCAAAGCCCACGGAGGTATTAACTTATTCTTTCAGAAGCAACCGGGCCACAAACGATGGCTCACCAAAGTGGCCTGGTCATCATCGTTGTGGTTGGACATGATTGCGGCCGCTTCCGCGGGTAACTCTGTCTCCTCTTCCCCCTCTCGCCCGCCTCCACTCAAAAGTCACGCAGAGCAGAAGACCCAGTGGGACAACCCCAAGACTGGCAAACGCAAGAAGGTGGCTGGAGGTGAGCGTTCATCATCATCGTCGTCGTCATGATGATCATCTTCTCTGCCATATTTACCGTCGTCATTCACCGTGGATTTTTATTTCACCAGGTAAGGCCCACTGAGCTAAATCGCTCTTTTTTTTACAAGCGGCCTGGCCACCGCAAATGATAGCTCACCGAAGTGGCTTATCATCACGTGGAAAATGTATCGCAGTCAAACTCTCCCAACGCACGTTGATTCTAAATGCGGAGGGGAAAACTGGTGGACCCGGAGAAAAATCCACGCGACCACGGGAGAGAGAGAGAGAGACACGCAAACTCCAAAAATACAGCAGCAGGCATCAAGTTGGGGATTGAACCCACGGCCTCCTGCATATCAGGCGAGGTTGTTAACATCTCCTAGTTACCGTGGTGGTGGTGATGATGATGAGAGAGAGAGAGAGACACGCAAACTCCAAATATACAGCAGCAGGCATGAAGTTGGGGATTGAACCCACGACCTCCTGTATATCAGGCGAGGTTGTTAACATCTCCTAGTCACCGTGGTGATGATGATGAGAGAGAGAGACACGCAAACTCCAAATATACAGCAGCAGGCATCAAGTTGGGGATTGAACCCACGACCTCCTGCATATCAGGCGAGGTTGTTAACATCTCCTAGTCACCGTGGTGATGATGATGAGAGAGAGAGAGAGACACGCAAACTCCAAATATACAGCAGGCTTCAGAGTCGGGATCGAACGCACGACCTCCTGCATACCAGGCGAGGTAGTTTAACATCTCGCCTCGTCTTGGTCATCATCAACACCACAGTCATCATGATCGTAACTATCTTCATTGTCATCATCGATGTGCCCATCACCATCGTCACGGTCATCATCATTATGCGAGCATGTTCTTTTTGAATCGCTGGCACACAAGAAGCCAAGGAAACGTGGTGAGGCACCCTGAACGTTCGTGGGTTCACGTCATGACGACGTCAGCAAGGCACGCGCAGCTCTTTGCCATTGTACAAGAGCCCTCCCCACGCCGTACGTGTGTGCACCGTACGTGGAACTTCCTCCCCCATCCCCGCGCAGCCAAGCCCGCTAACGGGAGGTGCGGTGGCTCGTCTGACCACACTTCACCACGCGCCGGCCCGTGCCAAGTGGAGAGCCCCCGTTTGGCTCGAGCACCGCAGGTTGCCTCCTCTGTCCCCCCCCCGCTCCCCCCGCCCCCCCCCCCCGCCCGCCCTCAACTCATTAAGGCGCCAGGGTGGCACCGCGGTGGCGGACTGGATTCGACTCCCGGCTCGGGCGCCTCTCTGAGTGACGGTCAAATGTCCTTCCCCTGCTCTGCCCTTCCGGGTTCTCCGTTAATATCCCACAGCTAAAAAGAGATTCAAAGATCCCCCGTGCAGCCTTAACAGACTGTTGGGGCAAGTGCCGTTAGCGAGCAGCACCTATGAAGGCGGGCACGGCACACGAGGGGGTGGGTGGCCAGCACCACGCCCGACCGCCTTTGTCTCCCCAGTGGCGATGTTTGCTACACACCGCACCAGGTACTCATTTGAGGCTGAGTCGACCTAGGGGAGGCCCAGGACCGGTTCAGATAATCGTCACTGGTGTTGGCCGTGAGCGGGAATCGAACCCGGGTCGCCAGGTTCATAGCGCAGCGCGCTAACCGCTACACTATCGCTCCCCACACGCACACAGACACACATACACACAGACACACACACAGACACACACACAGATACAGACACACACACAGACACACACACAGATACAGACACACACACAGACACACACACAGATACAGACACAATGTAACCGGTGTTGGCCAAACAATCCCTGTGTTTTAATTTACCTACAAAAAAAATCACTCGGTTGGGTTCGACACACACAGAAGGCTAACACGGTGCGGGAGGGGGATCTTTGTGAATGAGTGAGTGGAGTTTGTTTTCTCTCCCTGTTCTACACAGTGAGTGAGTGGAGTTTGTGTGATCTCCCCCTGTTCTACAGAGTGAGTGGAGTTTGTATGATCTCCCCCTGTTCTACACAGTGAGTGAGTGGAGTTTGTGTGATCTCCCCCTGTTCTACAGAGTGAGTGGAGTTTGTATGATCTCCCCCTGTTCTACACAGTGAGTGAGTGGAGTTTGTGTGATCTCCCCCTGTTCTACACAGTGAGTGAGTGGAGTTTGTGTGATCTCCCCCTGTTCTACAGAGTGAGTGAGTGGAGTTTGTGTGATCTCCCCCTGTTCTACAGAGTGAGAGAGTGGAGTTTGTGTGATCTCCCCCTGTTCTACAGAGTGAGTGAGTGGAGTTGTATGATCTCCCCTTGTTCTACACAGTGAGTGAGTGGAGTTTGTGTGATCTCCCCCTGTTCTACACAGTGAGTGAGTGGAGTGTGTGTGATCTCCCCCTGTTCTACAGAGTGAGTGACTGGAGTTTGTATGATCTCCCCCTATTCTACAGAGTGAGTGAGTGAGTGGAGTTTGTGTGATCTCCCCCTGTTCTACACAGTTAGTGAGTGGAGTTTGTGTGATCTCCCCCTGTTCTACACAGTGAGTGAGTGGAGTTTGTGTGATCTCCCCCTGTTCTACAGAGTGAGTGAGTGAGTGGAGTTTGTGTGATCTCCCCCTGTTCTACAGAGTGAGTGAGTGGAGTTTGTATGATCTCCCCCTGTTCTACAGTGAGTGAGTGGAGTTTGTATGATCTCCCCTTGTTCTACACAGTGAGTGAGTGGAGTTTGTGTGATCTCCCCCTGTTCTACAGTGAGTGAGTGGAGTTTGTATGATCTCCCCCTGTTCTACACAGTTAGTGAGTGAATGGAGTTTGTGTGATCTCCACCTGTTCTACAGTGAGTGAGTGGAGTTTGTGTTTTCTCTCCCTGTTCTACAGAGTGAGTGAGTGGAGTTTGTGTGATCTCCCCCTGTTCTACAGTGAGTGGCGTTTGTGTTTTCTCTCCCTGTTCTACAGAGTGAGTGAGTGGAGTTTGTGTGATCTCCCCCTGTTCTACAGAGTGAGTTAGTGAGTGGAGTTTGTATGATCTCCCCCTGTTCTACAGAGTGAGTGAGTGGAGTTTGTATGATCTCCCCCTGTTCTACACAGTGAGTGAGTCGAGTTTGTATGATCTCCCCTGTTCTACACAGTGAGTGAGTGGAGTTTGTATGATCTCCCCCTGTTCTACACAGTGAGTGGAGTTTGTATGATCTCCCCCTGTTCTACACAGTGAGTGAGTGGAGTTTGTGTGATCTCCCCCTGTTCTACACAGTGAGTGAGTGGAGTTTGTATGATCTCCCCCTGTTCTACACAGTGAGTGAGTGGAGTTTGTATGATCTCCCCCTGTTCTACAGAGTGAGTAAGTGGAGTTTGTATGATCTCCCCCTGTTCTACAGAGTGAGTGAGTGGAGTTTGTATGATCTCCCCCTGTTCTACAGAGTGAGTGAGTGGAGTTTGTATGATCTCCCCCTGTTCTACAGAGTGAGTGAGTGGAGTTTGTATGATCCCCCCCTGTTCTACACAGTGAGTGAGTGGAGTTTGTGTCATCTCCCCCTGTTCTACACAGTAAGTGAGTGGAGTTTGTATGATCTCCCCCTGTTCTACAGAGTGAGTGAGTGGAGTTTGTATGATCTCCCCCTGTTCTACAGAGTGAGTGAGTGGAGTTTGTATGATCTCCCCCTGTTCTACAGAGTGAGTGAGTGGAGTTTGTATGATCTCCCCCTGTTCTACAGAGTGAGTGAGTGGAGTTTGTATGATCTCCCACTGTTCTACAGAGTGAGTGAGTGGAGTTTGTATGATCTCCCCCTGTTCTACAGAGTGAGTGAGTGGAGTTTGTATGATCTCCCACTGTTCTACAGAGTGAGTGAGTGGAGTTTGTATGATCTCCCCCTGTTCTACAGAGTGAGTGAGTGGAGTTTGTATGATCTCCCCTGTTCTACAGAGTGAGTGAGTGGAGTTTGTATGATCTCCCCCTGTTCTACAGAGTGAGTGAGTGGAGTTTGTATGATCTCCCACTGTTCTGCATGAATTTCCTCCGGGTTCTCCACTTAACTCCATTGCTAAACCCCCGCACGCAATTATACCGGTATCAGCCACAACAAGGTTTAAAACAGGAGGATTTCTCCACAAATCTGGCTGTCGCCTGATGAAGCTGGTTGTAATTTCTGGCAAAAGTCGTAATCGGATTGTAAATGTTGTGGCTTGGCTCTCCAACACACTGGTGGTGCTGTACTAGTGACGAATTGGCCATGTTCTATTTACGTGACAACCCTCACTACTTGGCTGTGTCGGGTGGTGGCGGGTTTAACGACACAACATTTATATATTCACGCGCTCTAACCCCAAAAAAAAACCTCTTATGGATGATGCTGGTCACGAAAGCCGACTATGTGTTCAACGAAACACAACAACAACAACAACATTCCAAATGATAGAAAATTACCTGCAGGTTACTCAATTTCGATCACACAGCAACAACAGCAACAACAGCAGCACCATCGCCCCCGCCACTACTGAGAAACCCTGGCAGAACCCTCCCTCGCTCCGGGACGCGAGCCTTGAGCCTCGGCAAGGCTCTCGCCTGGGCACAACGAGCGAACGTTCGCGGGCCGGCTCAGCGGGCGCCCCTCTCTTCGCCACAGAGCTCCCGTACGGGTGGCAGCAGCTCGTGGACGCCAAGGGCCAAGTCTTCTTCACGGAGTGAGTGCGGACGCACGCACGCACGCACGCTCGCTCGCTCGCCCCTTTGTCGCGGGCACGCCGAGTGCTCGCGACGTCGAGTTCAACACACGCTTCGACATACAGGC